CGAGAAACAAGGCAACACAGTTCTAAAGAAGATCACAGCAGCGGGGAAAAGCAATGAAGCGAAATCAGCGGCCTCCTTGGTAGAGGACCGCCAGGCGCAATGAATCTGCTATGCTGGAAGTGTCGTGGGATTGGCAATGCCCCGACAATTCAAGAGCTATGCGAACTCGCGATAAAGTTTGCCCCTAGAGTACTTTGCTTATTGGAAACCCGGATTAGTGGTGATAGAGCTCAAAACTTAAAAAGCACTCTAGGTTATGATAACTCTATTTCTGTTGATTCCTCTGGTAGGAGTGAAGGCTTAGCAATGTATTGGAATAATGAAATAAATATTGAGAATTTGGGTTACTCGCAGTATCACATAGATATGCAAATTTCGGGGCTTGGTGGTGACCCGTGGAGGCTGTCATGTTTCTATGGCGAAGCACAAACTCATCTCCGACAGAGGACATGGGACACAATGAAGAACTTGGCAGCGCTCCATAACCTACTATGGGGCCTATATAGGAGATTTCAATGAGGTACTGCGCCATGATGAACATGATGGTATAGGCGTGAGGAACCAAACACAGATGCAAGGGTTCCGGGATGCGGTGGATGTGTGTGGTTTAATTGATCTAGGATTCCATGGCCGCAAATGGACCTTCGAGAAGAAAGTTGCAGGGGGTTCTTTCACTAGAGTCGGGCTAGATAGAGCCTTGGGCTTGACCGAGTGGTGCGCACAATTCCCGTTAGCTGCCGTGGAGCATCTTACCGTGGCCACCTCCGACGACTCGCCGATTATGTTGAAGCATTGTCCACCTGCGGGAAGGAAGGCAAAGAAGAGGTTCAAGTATGAGTGCATGTGGGATACCCACCCCAGGTTGATCCCCACCGTCCAGAATGCATGGGAATCGAACGGAATCTGATGGCTGTGGAGGTGTGTAGGATCGAAAGTATGTCTAGAGGGGGGGGTGATTAGACTACTTGACCAAATAAAAACTTAACCTTTTCCCAATTTTAATTCTTGGCAGATTTTAGCAACTTAGCACAAGTCAAGCAATCTCAATACAATTCAACCAAGCATGCAAAGAGTATATGGTCAGCGGAAAGTAAAGCATGCAACTTGCAAGAAAGTAAATGGGGGGAGTTTGGAGGGAGCAAACGCAATGTTGGCACGGAGATTTTTGGCGTGGTTTTGATAGGTGGTGCTGTCGTACATCCACGTTGATGGAGACTTCAACCCACGGTGGGTAACGGTTGCGCGAGTCCACGGAGGGCTCCACCCATGAAGGGTCCACGAAGAAGCAACCTTTTCTATCCCATCATGGCATCGCCCACGAAGGACTTGCCTCACTAGGGTAGATCTTCACGAAGTAGGCGATCTCCTTGCCCTTACAAACTTCTTGGTTCAACTCCACAATCTTGATGGAGGCTCCCAAGTGACACCTAACCAATCTAGGAGATACCACTCTCCAAAAGGTAATAGATGGTGTGTTGTTGATGAACTCCTTGCTCTTGTGCTTCAAATGATAGTCTCCCCAACACTCAACTCTCTCACACAGATTTGGCTATGGTATAAAGATGATTTGAGTGGAAAGCAACTTGGGGAAGGCTAGAGATCAAGATTCATATGGTAGGATGGGAATATCTTGGTCTCAACACATGAGTAGGTGGTTCTCTCTCAGAAAATGAGTAGTGGAAGTGTAGGTTTGTTCTGATGGCTCTCTCCATGAATGAAGAGTGGATGGAGGGGTATATATAGCCTCCACACAAAATTTAACCATTACACACAGATTCCCAAACTCGGTGGGACCAAATCAGCAAACTCGGTCAGACCGATCCAAGTAAAAATGTGAATGTTAGGATTTTTGGTGGGACCGATATAGTCATCTCGGTGGGACCGATATGCTAGGGTTAGGGCATAACGTAATCTCGGTGTGACCGACCGCATAAACTCGGTGGGACCGATTTCAACAATAGGTACACAAAGGATTGGTCAGGCAAACTCGGTAGGACCGATTCGCTCACTTCGGTGGGACCGAAGTGTTACGAAAACAAAACAACAAGTTTGCAATGCAGACTCAATGGGACCGATTTGCTCATTTTGGTGAGACCAAAATGTTGCAAAATGGAAACAGAGGGTTTGCAATCCCATCTCGGTGAGACCGAGATCCCTATCGATGAGACCGAAGTAACTAGGATTTGTGGCAGTGGCTATGTCAAATGAAACTCGGTGGCGCCAGATAGATCAAGTTGGTGGGGTCGAATTTGACTTTAGGTTTAGGATATATGTGGAAATGAGAAAGTGGTTGAGGGTTTTGGAGCATATCACTAAGCATTTTGAGCAAGTAAGCCATTAAGCAACACCTCATCCCCTTTTAATAGTATTGGCTTTCCTATGGACTCAATGTGATCTTGGATCACTAAAATGAAAATGTAGAGTCTTGAGCTTGTTGCCAATATATGTCCTTTGCATTTTGAGGGGTCCACATCTCTAGTCCATGCCATGCCAATCATTGAACTTCCTGAAATGATTATCTTGAAATAGCATTAGTTCAATGAACTATATGTTGTTAAGAATTACCAAAACCACCCAGGGATTAGTTGCACTTTCAATATCCCCCTTTTTCGTAATTGATGACAACATATAGATCAAAGCTTCTACAAATGATAATAAGAATGAAGTACATTGTCGCTTTGAGAAGTATGTGATAAGCAAGAGCTCCTCCTAAATTTGTGCATTGTTTAAAATTTGCTTTGGACTGCAAATGCACAATCTGTTAGGATCATGGGTTACTCTTCCATGTCACATACATCTTGGTGGAGAGCTCAAAATGATAAACAATAGGAACAAGCACTCATCACCAGGGCAAAGTGAATGATCGTACATTAAGGATAAAGAATATCATCATCCAAGCACAAGCATTAAGTATGATATGATCAAACACATGACCATACAAAGTAACTCACACACATAGGCATAAAGTATCTCACAAGCAAACAAAGCAAACAAAGCGAATAAGTAGCAAAAAGAGACAACTCTCTCTCTCTCTCTCTCTCTCTCCCCCCCCCCCTCGAAGCCTATGATCTATACACTTTCTCCCCCTTTGGCAACAAGTTACCAAAAAGCTCGAAAATGCATAGTGCTATGTGTCTCTCTAGGCTTGATCTTCGGAAGGAGGTGTTGAGATGACTCTAAGAACGAGTGCATATGTAGATGATGTTGGAGCTGGAGGGGTTGCCACTGGAGGGGCAACTGGAGTTGTGGGAGCTGTGGCTGCAGGTGCTGAAGTTGT